CATTGGAATGAATGTGCACATTATTAAGTAGCTGATTTTTGGTAGGAAAAAACCTATCATAATCTCGCTAAGAATTGAGTGAGCATCAATTGACTATTCAAATTATTCTCTCTCCAACCATGGTAATGAATTCTTCGGAAGAGTAATTTAGTGAAAAATTTTGTACGTTGTTACTTTTTTCTGTGCAAAGTGCGTGCTTTGACTTCAAGCGTTTAAACTCCTTCGAAGCATTCCTCTTGGAAGCTGAGACAGCGGTATATATAAAATACAGCATCAAGCTGTTCTAACGTGAGCCACCTCAGAGTTTCTGTAAGAATTAGTAAGTTCAAAAATTATTAATCCTTGTGTTATTTTTGGGGGTTCCTGATGCATATATCTTTGTGTCTGTAATTTAATCCAGTGCGTTAACGTCGCGAGGATTAGTAAAATAATTTCGATGTCATTCATAAATTTTGTCGTGTGTGTGTGAGAGAGTTGGCGTCGTGAGGACTTCTCTATTGCCTTCTTAGCACGGCAATCATAACTTTCATCAAGTCATTCATGTTCTGTTGTGAAAGATGATTACTGTCTCTGACTGACTCGAAAATATATATTAAACCATCACAGCTTCGAACTTGTCTAACGAGCCCCAAGTGTTCTTGAAAGATAGTCATTTCAAAAATTCGTCCCGCGCTGTTACTTTTTATTTGAGGGGTAATCATTCAAGCCTTTTCCTCGAAACATGAAGTTTTTCTTAGGTTTCACTGTGCCTATTCTTGGAAGACTCATTTTGTGTTTAATTCAGAGATGTCTAGAAAGCTCGACAGTGCGCATTTGCATACATCCCTTGCGATGCGCGCCACCCTCGTGCGCCCTTTCTAATCGCTGATTCATTTCGCCAGCTTATTTAGAGGAAGCGTTGTTTATAGATGCTCTATACGCGAGTCATCTTACGAAAACGTAGCGTATGGCTATTATCCGTTTTACCAAGATGGCCCACTGTCAGCCACCGAGAGGTACGTCGTCCCCTCTCTCCCAGCTCATCTTAGTACGACCCCCCCGTTGTTATCGTCACAATCGTAGGGTTGACCCTGGATTGTGAGGCTGTCGCTGACAAAAGGCGGCTGGGCCTTGCATTGTGTGCTGCCGTGCCTGCGAGAATTTTCGCGGCAGCCCGGATCGGCTCCACCGGGGTGTTGGTGGCGTGGCTGCCTAACGTGTGAGATCCAGCGTTTGGTTGTTGCCAGTATCAACTCGTGGAACCGGTGCATATCGGAAACCGTTGGACGTGGACTCTCCCCCAAGCAAGCCTCCTTTCACTGACAAAGGAAGGATTACAATTTCGGTGATTGTATACAGTTTTTTGTTCACGTTTTTTTTCTTCACTTATCGTTCCTTCCCACCTGCTAAACTCATATCAGGCTCCATAGATGCGAAACACGAGCTGATTTTTGCTTTAACTTTTTACCCCCAATCATGCTTATCTTATGTTATAAACATACGGATAATAACCTGCTCCAACTAAATAATGGTTCGCATTGGACATTGAGTGAGTGTCAAACTTAAGTTTTTGGGATAATGTACCTAAAATTGCTTCACTTTCCCACTTTTCCATACTTCTATATAGGTTTGCATACTCATTCGGTTTTCTATTGTTCTTATTATTCTCTCTTGGAACTCTCTTTTTTCTCAGCTCTGGCATTTACCTCTTTACTTATTATTTGATTCTACTTCCTTTTCTTTAATCGTCTCACTTCTTACACTATTTATTGACTTCAGCACATCTAGTTGTCACCCTATCTCTGCTGAGTTTTTTGTTTTTGCAACCCTACTTCACTGACGAAGCCTCAAGGTTGGCAAAAACAATAATCAATTTCTCTTTCTAATCATATCTTTACTCACTTTTCTCCTTCCTTTTCTTTCCTTTACTAATTCCTCAATTTTAATTGTTTTTGTCTTCCCTTATACATTCATTGGTTTGACAAAAAACAATGTGCTTCGTCTGAGTAAGCGTGCGAACGACACCCTTATTTTCTACACGAAAATATTAATTGTTAGTCTATTTGCTCGTTTGCTACGCTGCGATATCGATTGAAAATATGACATTCAGATATGTAAATGGGTGCATTGGTCTCTAGCTTAAGGTCGCCCACCTAGACTAAAGACATTGAGACCTCTCATTTGCCTTGAAGCAAGCCTGAGACTAACCAGCCAGCCTTTTGGGACATGAAAGCTTTTTGAGGTTTCTTGTATGCTAAGGGGTACATTACTAAGGGGTTTACATGCACGGGTAGCAGACTAGGCCCCATTTTTTCTGAGTGACGCTGTGAATGCCAAGAAAAGGATGAGAATCGGCGCGAGATCGGTCCCGGTCATGGCAATTTTCGACGATTCAGCGTTACGGCTTAATTACATGATGCCAAATTGCCGCACAAATAGGTACTGTGCTTTCAATCGGGGTAGATCATTATGTTTCTGATTTGGCTTTCTGCCCATAAATCGGGTAAAAAATTGTAAAATTGATCAAGCAGGATATTAGCTGAGGAAGGCTAAAGGGGCAATATTGCACCATCATTGAAAGTGACGTCAATTCGATCGTATGCAACTGCCTTATATATTAACTTAAGCTGCAGTTCTAAGAGAAATCGAGGATTGAACCATTCGAAACTGGGTCAGGGCAAAGCCATAGTCAAAAGGCACGCTGGCGGCCCATTTGAAGACAATTCGAGACCGTATCAGTTGGTGTTTTGGCATGATGGACACTTCTCACCGCATGTTCTGCCTCGTGGCAATCTGGCATCACCATTAGTCTCTTCGATGCATTGGCGTTGCCTGTGTGGCCGTGGCTCCGTCAGACATGCCTGCGAGCCAGCAATCGCTCAAGGGAAATTAAGTAATGTTTTTCCTTGGCTAGGAAATAAGGCTGCTGCATTTTTTTCGTTAGGTATAGATTGGTTGTAGATCGTACTGTGCTTCAAATGCTTCATTGAGTTTATCATATCACCTGTGTCCGTGATACCTCGAATTGATCGAGCGGGCGCCAGCAACGTCTCCATGTCGTCGCTGTCGTGTTGCAAGAGTTAATCCAGTGGGACCTCTCCTCGACGGGACATCGATGGCCTTTCATTTTTCTTTTTATTTTAATTACCATACACTTTGTTAATTGTTTGCATAATATACCGGAAATTTTAAGTAGCACAACTGTAAACATATGGGTTCAGGCGTATCACGAATTGTGGGAGAAAAGTTCTTGATAATGACAATCTCGTAGGCGTTAGTTCCGGCGCAGCACATTGCAAATGTCGAAAATTGAATCGACAAAAAAACGGAGTACGTCAGGGTAACCGAACCAACCACCGCCCAACCCTAAGCGCTGTCAAACAAACAACCTAAGCCCTGTCCAACCGGAGCCTATACGCATATTTCACTTCGCTATCCGAAACCACCGCCTGGTAATGGATGTCGACGAGCTCTGATGAAACTTCCTCATCTCTAAAGATATTATTTATGCCAATTTTTGCTTTTTCGCTTATTCGACGTGTTTTCAATGTCATCGTTACGAAAGCCTCTATTAAGCGCATACTCTTAACGTCGAACGATGACACTAAACGCGTTGAAAGGATCTGTGAACCGACTATTTCGTAGCATAGAAATTTTTTTTTACTTTTTTTTGCATTCAGTAGGGCCGCTCACAAAATGGAGACTAGTTTCTGTACTCTTGCATGTACGACCTTTCTTGGTGCAGAGAAACCGTGTTTGCACACAGCGCGTCCATGTCGTGACAGTGCTTTCTCTGTTACAGTCCTAAGGCGTAGTCATAGCCTGCATGAAACCAATGTGGTAAGCATAAACTGGGCCAAACTAAATCAGCAAACCCAAGCTTATCCTTAGGCCTCAGTGATCGTGCAACTCTCGTGACCCGAAGAGAACTGAGCGTCTCCCCTGTCAAGAGCCAATATCACCATAGTTCACAAATCGCTACTGGGACGCCAACTTCAGAAACTCAGTGTGGGTTTTGCAGGAATAATTGGAGCAGGGATCAAGAATTTCAGTTTTACTGTTCATATTTATTCTTGGAAAGCACAAATCTAAGACGTGTGCTTTCCAAGAATAAATATGGACAGTAAAAATTACCTTAAACTTCTTCAGGCTCAGATGATGCCTCAGACCGACAGGACCTTCAATTGCAAGCACAGAGCATCAGAGTAAAGTTTAGCGAAGACCCTCAATGCGAATATTGTCAGGGTTAGTGCCAACGGAGATCATACCGGAGAGACATCAAAATTCTTCCAACCAAGAAGAGCAATAGCTACTGCGGGCCTTGAATCTACTCGAAAATATCTATACACACCAGCTACGACGAGTTTCCGATAATGCTTCAGTTGTATATCAACGCATACAGCAGTCACAAGGAGCAATACTGTTTCCTGCTTGATAACCTTATATCAATACGTTGGCGCTGTAAATTTGGGTCCTCTCAGCCCCACAGTTTTCTCAGAACCAGTTTATCTTGCTGCCGTACTTTTTTTTTACTTTGTACACTGTACCAAGTCGAACACCTTTCAAGACAGAAATGTATGTATTCTGTCAAAATTCGCGCAACTTTTTCGGCACCCAACGCAACCCTCCAAGAACGAAGCATTAAAACACAGACCATAGCATATTGCAATGAAGATGAGATTCAGATCGAGAATTCAATCTTTATTTTTGCTATCTAAACTGATCGTCACTGGACCATCATTAACAATCTCCACGTTCATCATTGCTGCAAATCGTCCGTCCTAAAACATTCCACTGAAGCACGAACGCCTACGCAGGGAAATTGTTAGCTTTCGGAAACGCGGTCACCTGCACATTTTCGGGCGAATATGATTTTCTCATCTTTTCCATGAATCTGGCATAGAACTCGGATGCATCCTGTGGATTCATCGAGTTGTGGAAATCGAGTTTGTTGCCATGAAATAATGAGAATCAATCACCGACATTGGAAGAATAGCAAAAAGTGGATAATTTAAAGAAGTCGAACAAATAAACTACTATATGAACCGCGAACTTGGAGTTGCGACCGATGACTGCCCAGTGGGTCTCACATTGATCTGCCTAGCCTGTAGGTGTTCTTTAAAGGAATTTTCCACGGAGAAAGCTCCGCCCTCATCACCACAGAAAACGACACCTTAAAGAACTCTTCCACGGAGAGAGTGATCATTGCCTTGTGTGTAGGATTAGTATTATCGAAACTAACGCTTATGCTCCAATCTTTCTGCAATGCTCATGAGGCTAGGAGTCTAAGGTGTCGCTCTTTGTAGTAATGGAGGCGGAGCTTTTTTCGTGGAAGATTCCTTTAATCAGTGTTGTAATCGGGATAAAAGGACTGTATCTTCACAGGTGGCCAGATTCACACCCAGTACATCATATTCTATTCTGCTACACTTGAAAGAGACCACTGCCTCCAACAAATGTTTAGCGATTCATTCAAAAAGCCAGCATGGCTGCGCACGCATTGGCGTGCAACACATGGGACTGCAGTGGTTTGAAGCAGGCCGTCGATATTTTCAAAGTTCCGAGACAAACTCCGTCCACTTTGGCGCACGCCCCCTCCCCAATAGCACTTGAGCGCTCCTCGTTCTAACCTCTGTCCATCCACCCCCGGTCTCTGAGGCGCTCTCGGAACAGTAACGTAATAATGTTTCGTTGCAAACTCTACCCACATTGGTTCCCAACAACAGCACTTGAGCTCCCTTTCGCTGTCAGACTTCTTCATCCTTTCCCGGTTTCCGGGGCTTCTTGGAACCAGATTTTGAATTCGGTACCAAACTGCGCCCACATTGGGGCGCGCCATGCCCACGATCAATGCTTAAAGTTCTCTCTTTCTGTAACATCTAATCCACCCTTTTCCGTAGCTTCTGTGGCCGGCGGTTGTAATGGATGGGGCGCGGCTGCACTTAAAGTAAGGACGTTCCGCCGCGATATGGGCGCAGCTGCTGCCTAGTTCAGATTTATGCTAGACACCTCTTAATATAAGCTCTGCGCTGAAATAAATTGTCTTAGGCTTTGTAGGGTTTCTGCCTAACAGCGTTGAGAATATTTTGTCTGAGCGCCCAAGAAAAATGCACAGACCGAGTTTCGTGACAGCTAAGTTGTGACACACAGGGAGACTTGGATTGCGACTTTATGCGCACTAGGTGCCATCTCAAACGGCAATGTCTCCAGTTCAGCAAATATCCCTGAGGAATGTCCTGCCAGCTTGCACTGGGTGCTCACTCTAACTTGAGGAGATCGACTCCGTGAAGGGAATGCGTAATGACAAGGATTTTGACAGCAATCGTTGAACCACCGCGGTGAAATGGAACTTCCACACTGATTTTGGACATAGGACGGTAGTAAACCTCCCTCAATTCAGAGTTAACGTGTTGAGAGTGTCAAACAAAAGTCATGGTTAGGTAACAGGTCTGAAGCGCCTGCAAAATATTAACTCTTGATTAGCTTATAGGCTCAACCAGATTTAGTCCCCGTCGACCGTCGGGACCTTCCTTTCCTTGCGCAAGTTTCTTATCCTGCCGCTATGGTGGTCCCTTCCTTCTGTGACACCAACAACCCTCCTGAAAGTGACGCGTATGCAACAAATGGTGTTTCATAGAGTAGAAGGTCTCAATCATGGTTATGACGGTAGATTTTTTCGTTCGCCTTCTCATTCCGCTTCCTGGGTCTCTTCCACTGCCTCAAGCCTTGCCACTGCGAGACCATTGGAGATGAACGAAAGTTTCTGAAGCAGTCAGTGTTATATTAGCCCTAAGAGTGGTATCCAATTATCTGGCTACAAAACATTGATGCTCAATCCTGGAAGTACCCGTGTTAATGTTAGCGGTGTGTTGTGTATCCCATGAGCTGCTTCTCCTCACTTTAGTTTTGCGGACGCGACACACATACATTACAGTAACACACGCACACACACCACACATACAAGTACACAAACCAGACACCAAGTTTAGCGCATATAATTAGAAGGATCGGTTATCGAAAATTCGAGCTTTAATTTACGAATATAGAGAAATAACCTGTAAAGCTAATTCGTAATTAAGCAGAGAAAAAAGGAGCACGTGGTTGAGGAGGCGCCGCCACGTTGACCCTCAAGTAAAAAGTACTCCGAAGGACTTTTTGTTGGAGGGTTAACGTGGCAAACGTGGCATCTGCGTCTCCCCATTCCCACGGTCTTTTCTCTTCTCTGACCAGCTCCACTAAGTAGGAATTAAAAATGCGGCTGCAATCGCATAATCCACAGATGCTTTTGTGACTTTTTTCTTTCTGAAATATTTGTACGTTTGCCCATGTTTCGTTGTTCTGTGATCATAAAATAGAGTAGGAAGCTCACGTTTGATTTAAGATCGATTCGCGATTGTCTTATTCTTTATTCTATGCAAGCGCCTTCGATCACCACATTTAACTGCGAATTAAGGGTAGTTTACTATCGTCCCAAGTTTGTTGGACAATGCTTTTTCTCCTATTTCCAGCGTTTCCTGATAGAAATCTTATCATGAAATACGAAGCACATCAGTAACAGCATTAGTCGCTGTCAACGACTCTGGAAGGAGCCATTGAAACGGACCCCTGTCAAAAAATGTGTAAGCTCTTGTAAAACTGCGAGTAAAAGTGAGCAATGGTCGCCAGCCACTGCGAGATCAACACAGAAAGAATCAGAAGAAAAAAGGAGAGCCACCGCAGTTGATGGCCAAGCCTCAACTCTGCCGAATGCCGGGTCATCCTTTACTTTGCCTACTGACATACCATTTCTCTCTCGAAATAAAGCATCAACACCGACATGACCATGGATTTGCTAGCGGCTTGTCCTTATTTTCCTCCTCCACTCTCTTCTGCTGCGTATGTAGGCAATATGAGCTGGATGTTGAGTGAGACGAAATGCCTACCGTTACAAGAATCCGCATGCTATTATCTTCTTCTCCTTCTTTTTTACCACGGCGCTTTGTCACCCCTAACCCTAATCCCAGGAATGACCAACTTATCGTGCATTCTGCATTTAAAACTAAGGAGATATCACAAGAAAAAAAACGCTCACTTTTAAATAGCCATAAAGCGTGAATTGGCTGACACAGAGGACCTCCAGTCCCTCATCCTTCACAGACTTGTCCCAGCGCTTGTTTTCGGATGCAAACAGTCGCACGTTCAAGATTTTTCGAACAATATACTCAATGTCTTCATCATTATCCTCTCTGGAAATGCCCACAAACACGCAGACTCCTCGCCCGATTGAACTCACCTGAAATTTACGACGGATTGAGAATCTGGAAAAAGAAGAGATTCAAGTTTAACAAGGGCACGCATACACTGCTCGGAAGTAAACCGATGGTCTGGCGGATGCCATACCGGTCTTGTATCTACATGAGCAGATACTTGGATCCTTCGTGATTTTTGGTCCGGGTTTGTAGCATTCTTAAAGTGTTTCCACAATACTGCTCCTATTTTTTGGTGCATCTACGCGACGACGGTATTGTAGCGTCGCAAACCGTCGCACCCTCATATCTTCCTCGAAAGCGGGTGAAATTAAAGGATCTTTACATCGATGGACTCGCCTCTCTGTGGCGAGTCTATCCATGCGCAAAACTACTGATTTGGTTAAAGTTGTAATAAGTTATTCCATGTAAACTATTGTCGATCTCTCGTTCAACAGTCTCGCCTCTCCTGATTTCCACTATCTCTCCAATCGTGAACCAGCTCTTAGAAGCGAACGGTCAACGGAACCGTCCAGCCATCGCGGCGTCGGGATGCGACGTCTTTCTGAGAGGCGCGGGACTTTTCGGATTTGACGGTAGGAACAGCGAGTTTCCTGCAGTCCAGACTAATCTGGGGCGGATACCAAATTCCAACTCTCGTGCTCCGCTTTCCCTTTAAAAGTGGCGTGAACAAAATTGTTCTCGATTTCATAATATTAGGTTGTCACGTAAACGGTGTCGCTTTTTTCATACAAAAAATTTTCATCTAAATCCCCATGATTGTACACCATGTCGAATATTAGAAAGAGAAGTGTCTGCTCTACAAGATGCTACGTTCCTCTTTCACATCTGTTCCACGGTTTTCAAATTTTAGGTCTGCGAAACGGGAGGTCCAGCCGACAAAATTGACCAAACCGACAACTAGCTCTAACTTTATTTTCCCTGGGGAGAGAACAATCAATGATGCACCCTCTACTTACTCATGACCTCTTCTAAATATTCCACTCTTAGTTTGCCGAAAAAGCTTTGCCGTGTTTCTTTTTGAATTGGCTGACCGATAAGCCATAGCAATTTTCAAATTGAAATTGTGCCTCGTAAACGCCATGGTTTTATATTAAATGGTGTTCCTTATGTGAGCACTTCTTCTGCTATATTCGATCATTTGTTTTATTTAAATGTTTTTCTGGGAACTAGTTCGATTTTGGTTGTTTAGGAGTAAGGTCGTTTTACCCACGAAAGTGACCGCATTTCTTTGGAAAACTTATTCTTGAGAAGATCAACCAGGCGTACATTCCTTACTTAGTCATGACTTGTTCTTGTCGAATTCCACTAGTTTTTCGACGTCTCGGCAATAAAACAAATTTCGACCTAGATCTAAGGTAATCGTGCTCGACCGTCGAGCTCTGGTTGAGAAACTAGGTCTGGAAATGGAACGACGCTACTTGTTGAGAAAGCTAGTGGTGTAATATTCAAAAGAGGTCATGTATAAGTAGACGGTACATCGTTGATTTCTCTCAAGGGAAGATAAAGTTAGAGAGTTGTCGCTTTGGTCAGTTTTTGTCGGCTGGAACTCCCATTTCACAGGCCTAAAATTTGAAAGCCCTGGACCAGAGGTGGAAGAGGAACATGGAATCTTGTAGAGCGGACATCTCTTTTGAATGCTGCATGGCACAATGTAAAAGCATAGAGATTTAGATGAAAATTTTTTGTTAGAAAAAAAGCGACACTACTTATGAGACAACCTAATGTAATAATGAAAAGCACAAAAAGAAAGTTTAAAGAAATTGAAACTATGCGCGCACTGACTGGACTTGAACGTTGAAGACACGGGTTCACAGAGCGTTCCACTAATGTTCAGTTAGGCTGGTGTCAGAGTTCGCGATCCGTCGCAGGTTTCGCTGATTTTCGCGATCTTCGCGAGTTGCGCGACTTCCGCGATTTGCGCGACGGGCACAGTAACCACAAGTGGCTCATCAATACCGCAAGGTGTTCTCCAATGCCGCCGTCACTTCTGCTTAATAGTGATGGCTGAATGACGACTGCCTTCACGATTCCACTTGTTAGAATTATGGGATAGAATAGGAACGAATCATGAGCGTTTCAATGAACTGATAGACATTGAACATGAAACAAGTAGAATCACGGGTCAACAGTGGTCTTTCATTCTTCACTGTCAAGCAGAATTCGCAGCAGGATTAAACAGCACCTAGCAGTATCATCGGGCACTTCCAATCCAATGATCCATCGCAGGTTTTGCGCAAATCGCGAAAACGCGAAAATCGCCGAAATCAGCGAAACCTGCGACGGATCGCGGCTCTGACACTAGTCTAACTGAACGTTAGTGGAACGCTCTGTAAACCCGTCTCTTCAACGTTCAAGTTCAGTCAATGCGCGCATAGTTGCAATTTCTTCCAACTTTTTCTTTTTGTGCTTTTTCATTATTACATTAGGTTGTCTCATAAGTAGTGTCGCTTTTTTTCTAACAATGTCACACACAGAAACTAGCCCACTGGTCCACTGCAGTTGCAACGTTGCGGCCATGACCAGCAGCGCGGGGTCCAAACGACTCTATTGACCCACACCCGTTCTTAGCTCCCGCTTTGATGCTTTCATAACGCCTCCCGAGCCACGGTCAACCGTCACGTTGAACCAGTTTCAAGAGTCTCACAACTCCTTCCCTTGAAAGGTCTTGATGCCGCCCTCGCCTGCCCCTACGCTCTCCGCAACAGTTACTTTGAGCAGAGATGCAGCACCGTGCGCCTTCGTCGCGTGCTTTCCATTGGCGCGCACAGTTCTTCACCCGTTGCGCCGGAATAAGACTGTTCTAACCATCTAATCAGTAGTTACAATGTTCTTCTGAAAACTACTTTTTGAACGGAGTTCTTATTACTGGCCTGACGTTTCGTTTCTCTCATTTAGGTTTTCGGTTCTTCCCCCTAATGTTCCGTCAGAACAAAAATATTGGGGAGAGTAGGTCAGTGGCGGTTCATAGAACCCTTTCAGCCCTAAAACCACGTTTATACCTTTGAGGTAGACGATCGTGGAGAAGTCAGGCTATTAATAATGTCTCCACCTAAAACCCTCGCTACCAGAAGAAGAACAGTATAACTACAAAAATCTACGAGAGGCTGGAGTTTGCTTCCAGTGATTGTCTAGCATCTGGAACTATTCTTCTAATGAAGTTGAGGGTCAAGAATCCAATGGGATGTACACTTTTCCCACTAGAAAGACTCTTCAAATGAAAGCCTTCAAATTGCTTTCTTCCTGAATAGTACCCAAACTTTTTTTAAATTTTCACTTCTTCAGAAAATAGTCCCATTGTTCCTCTTTTGTGTACATTAGGACGCTTCACGCTACAAATAATAAAAAAGCTCAGATTGTTGTAGGTAGGCTCAACAAGGCCAAACTATCTCGGTCTTTAAACTCCCACATTTCAATCATTGAAGTGTTGTTCAAATACGCTTTCACCGCACAAACAATGCATTTTCTAATGACCACTCTTTCCTTCTCTATGAGCTACCAGTTGGCGCCTCACACGTTGCGCGCACAACACAGCTTGCGGCGATATGGGTTGGTGCGGTAAACTCCCAATTTTGGCCCGTTACACTACGAATATTTGACTTCTGAGCTAGGTTATATCCGCTCCATCGACCGAAGGCTTCTGACTTCTTCGTTGTCAATCATTGTCATTGAGCTCTGAAAACTTTTTCCCTGTTTCCAGGAATTCTTGGGACCGAATTACAACTTTGACGCAAACTACACCCGCATTGGCCCACGTTCCAGACACTAGTAGCAGTTGACCTCCCCTCCGTTGTGAGACTCGATCCACTTTTCCCGGTCTCCAGGACCACTTGGAACTGAGTCATAATGTTGTGTGGAGAACCCCGCCTTTTTGGTGCATGCCCCGCCCACCAATAGCGGTCAGCTTCATTTCTTTTGCTGACACCTGTTAACTTGTTGTCCCGGTCTCACGGCTTTTTGGAACCGATTCATAAATTTTTTGGCAATCTCCGCCCACTTTTGTGCACGCCGCGCCCACCTTCAGCATTCAACCCCTCCTTCTTCTCTAAGATCTATCCACCATATCCCGCTCTCCAAGACTTTTCGGAACGAATTTCGGGGTCTTGCAGGAAACGCTCTGCACTTCAGCACACGCTCCGCCCATTGGGGCGGTCTATCGCTCACGTCATGTATGCTGGGAGCTCCCAAGACATTGCTTCGCTACACCGATTTTTCTGCTCTATAGGCTTTCACTTACCCGAGTTGTAAACTTTACCACTGACTACGTGACTACTTGAACTCTCCCCTGTGTTTTCTGCCGCGAAAGGCAGAGCACAGATGATTAGAGAACTGCGCCTTGCTCGGCTCCAAAACCCAGGAAGGAAGGTGGCAACCCTAGGAATGAGCCTTGCAGGGAAAAGGGACTCCGGAGTGGGTGAGCCAACCACATTGTGGCAAAGTTTGGATGTGTATCACAGCCACTGTTTAAGCCACTGTTTAAACGAGAGAGCGCAGGCGAGATCATCGAGTTGACGCGGCTTCTGAGCAAATTATCCACTGACCTTTTCATTGAGCACTGCCTTTTTGGAGGACGCCCCACCCAAAAAGGTTGTGTTCCCCTAATTCTATCTGGCTTACCAATGCGCGCCTTTTCGCTAGTTTCAAGGCTGTATTGTTATAAAATTGAAGTCTTGGTTGTCAGTACAGTCCATTTTAATGGACGCCACGCCCACTGTGGGCGGAGCTTCGCCTAGCTGTGGTGTGTTTTGTACTTCGCAAGACCTTGCTCACCCACCCCACACTTGATCCCGTCCCTCCATGTGGATCCCAATGAGTTAGGGAATTTCTTATATGTATATTTAGCTGAGCTGAGGCTCGCTTAAGGGCTAGAGCTGTTCAAACGAGCGCGCGCGGGAAGTTTTTTTTTGAAGAGGCGAGCATCTTGGTGTTTACTTCCAATCGTTAGTGGCGAATGGTTGAAGAGAGGCAGAGGCGTTACGGAATCATCGAGGCGGTAGCCAAGAGTTTGTGCCTGACTGGACAGATAATGGAAATGAGGAGAAGCGAGACTGTCAAACGAGGGACCGACGATAGTTTTTTTATGGGATAACTGTTACCTATCCAACCAATTTCTAAGTTCGCACAGGGTCAGACTCGCCACAGAGAGACGAGTCCATTGCTGTGAAGATCCTTTCATTTTACCCGCTTCCGAGGGAGTTATAACGGTGCGACGGTTTGGTTATAATGGTGCGACGGTTGCGACGCTACGAAACCTCGCAACGCGTAGATGTTTAAAAAATTGGGAGCGGTATTGTACGTCTTTCGCATAATCAAGAAGCTAGCGCAATATTGCCAAAAACTACTGTTTGCAAAGAGATGCATGGCCGTTCAAGGCAGTTCAGACATTGTCACCTGTTCGCATATCCTTTGACATACTAAACACGACCAATTTTGCTGAAAATCTGTGACTGGAAGTCATTCGGTATACTAAAACAAGTCCCACTGTTCACGAGCATGCTGTATAATCTTAACTGAACTTTCAGCCATGGCGGGACTCGGACCCACACCTCTACCAGCTCATTGTCGCTGCACGAGAACATCGTGCTGACACTCCTTAAGCAGTGCATATGTGAACGGTATTGAAGAGTAGGAGGGGCCCATTGCCGCAGCGCACGAACAAGAGCCAGTTTTCGCATCAAGCGAGCATCATTTCAAAACATCACATCAAGCGCCATCCAACGCAAAGTATAGACCATGAGGCTAAATTCTACATCTACAACCTCATTGGACATTGTGGCAGCTATGTGTGCCTCACCTATTGCATTTGTTTTTGCGTAAACGTCCGATTTCTTTCCAATTTCGTTGCGCTCATTTAGCCATACAACAACGTAACCAAGAACCACGTTGCTTACAAAATGAGCAAATGTTCTTTAGACCGCCGCCACACTCGGCGACGGACAAGTGATGGAGCGACACGGTCGCTCCATCGCTTGTCCATCGCGTTGCAATCGCTCTGCCGAGAGCGACTAACACGCGATTGCGCAATCGCTAGCAAAATGCACAAGCGACGGGCCATTGGCCCCTACTCGATGTAGCCGGTTGCGGTATCGGTCGACACAGCGATCGCCCGTCGCTTGTGCAATTTGCAAGCGATCGCTCCATCGCTTGTCAGTCGCCGAGTGTGACGGCGGTCTTATTTTGGGCGAGGATTTGCAGACCTGTTGAAAACATCCGTTCAGTGCATTCCTCATTTTCTTTTCACTAACGCGAACATGTAGATAAAAAAGAATGCTAGAAGTGAGTACAAAGCTATTCAAAGCAAAGCGTGTGGTAATATACAGTAGCGGTCAAAAGCTTGGAAACTTTTTTATTTTTGATCTAGTGTAGCCAGCAGAAAGTGAAATTGTCCCGAATTCACATACTATATACAGAATCAAGTGTAGATTACGATGAGTGACATAATTTTTCGAAAACGAGATTCGCTTTTGGAAAGTACTAATTTTTATAAGAAGTGGCGCGTCAAAAGTTTGGAAACTTCTCAATTCCAAAGCGAATTCGGCGAAATAGCTCTCGAATCTACATCGAATCGAATGAGTAAGAATTCATACGACGGTGTCGTTTTTATTGACATGGAGTTGATTATAAAATAATTTTAGGACTTTTAAGTCGAACCCTGCACACTGTAAACCAAATCGCATTGTTTGGTGGGGTTCTTGACTGGAATGTGGTTTGAGCGACATGCCAGTTCTTTCATGGGATGTTGAACTCAGTTAGACTTTAGATCATGACTGTCGCTGAATCGATCGGAGTGACCGGATTTGCCTTAGTGGCAGATTCCTCCGGATACCCTCATTGGCGAAGTGTTTGTTGCCTAAGTGGCTAGTAGTCGTCGCGCAGGTCAAGTGGCTCGCGGGTAAAGTTAGAGGTACACTTTGCCGCCCGAACCGATTTGGGAAATCCCTCTTTCACGTTCCCGACCGTACGGCTAACCCGCGACGATTCTGTGGCTTCCAGCTAAGCGATTGGATTCTACTCGCGGCTCCCTACTTCTAGCAGAGACTTCCGATCGATTCATTTTGCGTTGTTTTTTGTGTGTTTTCGACTCGTCATTGCTTTATCGATTCGTTGTTTTGATCTTGTCAATAAATCTCATTGATACTCCTTCCCCTGTGAATTCGGACCGTACCTCGGTCAGATATCTGTGACAGTATTCGGCTTACATGGGGGCCGAACCAACTGACTGAGCGTCTAGATCGAGTTCAAAGGACCAGTATCGATTATTGATCACATTCGGGCTGAGGAAGGAACGCCCGCAGTAGTGGCCATATCGATTATTGAATAACATCCGGGCTAAGCTAGGAACGCCCATAGAGACACGACATTGGAAGGGTGCCAATAAAGGGAGACAGTGTCGAGAAGAGGAAGTCTAGGAAGGTGGTAGGGAGGGGAATCATTGTATTGATTGCTACCTGGTGCGGTGGTATCTCAGTGTTACAAAGTTGCTAGTTGTCGTCGCGATCGATCGTTATCGAAGATTATTGCTCGTGAATTGATTGACACGACAATGATTGAAGAATTGATGTCTGACGTTTCCAGGTCGATAGTGCCCACGGTCGGAGAGAGTATGGAAACAAGCGAAAATATTGAGCCACCGAGTCAGGTGAAAATCCGTGTTCCACCTTATACAAGAAAGAGATCAGCTGGACGAGGCTAAAGTGGTAGCAGGTTACGACAGTTACAGGAAAGGATAACTAAGAAAGTAGGTGACTTGAGGAAGTCAAAGGAAAAAAGATTGAGATTGAGATAGAATTGCTAGGTGTATAGAGAAGGGGGAAGAGACTGCGGGCGAAGATGAAAGTGACCTAGGACTTCCTCGGGATCTAGCGAACGAAATAAAAGACACGATTAGGCAGAGAGGAATTGAGTCGTGTGAGGATTGGAAGGATTATGTGAGCACCATGGAAAGAGATGGTTAAATTTTAGCGGAAATTCGCGAGCTACTAAAAACGGACGTCTTGCAGGTAAAACAGAGTGGTAGCGCTTTAAGAAGTAATTGACAGCGCAGAAACGTGCGATTGTGTTATGCCAAGCGTACTCATTCATAGAGGCGACCAGACAAATATTTATCGGACGAACTTGTTACAGAAACCGACGTATTCGACTGGACAGCAGTGCGCAGGGGCCTGGAGTGCACATTTGGGGAGCCTCACGAAAACGGAGCAAGCAACGCCCATTGCGGGTGAAGTTGTTGTGCAACAATTTGCGAACTATTTGAGGGCTACGACTTGTCCAGACCAAGGAATATTCAAGGGTGTCAAAAATTGAGATTTTAAAGTTTACAAGAAAATTTAAGAGAATTATGAGGATGTAGTGGGGTGTGAGTCGTCCGTAGTAGAGATTTTGGGCGATGATCATTTGAGCGATCGGGCAAAGAGCATGTTCATGGCATTGCCTAGAGCTGTCAAAGAGCAGGGATTTGAGAGAGTGGTCGCTGAAATGGCCAAGTTGTTGGCACTTGACTCAACTGCGGGTAGGCTCAGAGCCTTGACAGAGTTGAGGAAACTGAGAATACGGCCAAATCAGGGTGTTTCGGAATTCTGCGTTGTTCAGGAAAGGCTGGAACAAAAAGCAATCCAGGAGCGACAATAGAGGACCGGTCGCTCGAATATGCCCAAATTCTCTTGGACAGTCTCAGAGACTGGCCAGAGCATTTCCAGCTAGTGGGAGTGCACACAGGGTGGAGCCACACAGGGCGTATGATGAGGTAAAACAGCTGGCTCTGAGCATAGAGCAGTCGAAGCTAATGCTGAGTGCCAATAGAAGGCCTCCTAATTGTGAGTGGAGAAATAGGTTCACGAAATATTGCGGGGACCAGGAAAGCGAAAGCATTGAAAATGGATGGGGTGCAAGCGAACTAGATCCCGGAGGAGCGACATGCGCAGGGGAAGACGATAATGAGCGTCGAGACAGGGGACGCAATTCGACAAAACGGCTATGGGACAAGGCAGTAACGAAGTCAAGAAGTGTTATAATTGCCCGCGGTATGGGCACATAGGATGCGAGTGTCCTCAACGTATGACAAGGGTGAACCAAACTGAGAAGAAGGAACAACGTGAAGGGAAAAAGAAATCACTGGGCACGAAGCTTGAGGACTGCGGTGAAGGAGAAGGAGCGCATCGAAAGCGCTCTAATTGGGGACAACATAGTTGCGTCAGGGAGTCTTCTCAATGGAAGGAACTTAGAATTGATCGACACCGGATCAATGATCAGTATTATACCTTTAGGGGTTCTAGGGAAGGCGCCATCTGCAATGAAATGGAGTTCGCAGGAGCAGTATACATTGAAACGAAGCTGGAAGGAGATAACCGCAGCATAGTACCTTTTTACATCAGCTCGAATGGGGATGATGAACTCATTCTAGGCACTAAAGCTCTCGGTAGCTAGGGGTTGAGGTATCTATAGTCGAGAACAAAGAGGGAAACATCATACGACAGTGGGGAACGGAAGATCGGGAAGAGAATATCGAACCTATCCGAAGACAATTTGAGGCTAGGAGTAGTACCAAAGTGTGCCCCGGATGCCATGACTGAAATATATCATGACGGGGGAAAAAGGGAATGAAATCTAGAGTGAGAGTGCAAAAGACTTAGCAAGTGCTCTAAAGGAGCCGCTACCAGAAGGACAGCGGACAGAAGGAAATTCCAGTGTCTCGACAAGTACTTGGGAAAAACTGGTGATAGTTGATGAGTCAGCGGTGCGGGCGCTCACGCCAGGCAAGTCTTCGAAGACGTATGGTCCGCGTGGAAAGCCATAAGGACTGGTAAAGGAGTGGCGGAAAGAATTCGGTTACATCAAGACCGAGGGGTCACATATAATGCACCTACAACAGCACGATTGGTGAGGGCACCGGCTCCCACTAGGGGGGCATGTCAGGAGGCACAGGGCCAATGCACCAGAAAGGCCACAATCAAAAAGGAGGGCATATCAGTGACCGAAGCACGTCACAAATCAATTAAAGGATCGCGCGGGAGTCCTCTGCAATAAAAGGGAGAGCAGCGAGTAAGTATGGAGAGCCGCGAGTAAGTATGACTTGTTTTCTCTCCGACGTATTCTCTCCTTGGCACATCGTTAGGTGCCAATCGCCAATCGACCTGTCGACGCGTTAATGGCCGGTTAGCCCTAGTGCTCTCGTCTCATCTGCCTTAGTAGCAGATTCCTCAGTATACGCCTCAGTGGCGAAGTGTTGCTTGCCTAAATGGCGTAGTCTTCGCGCAGTTTGGTGGTTCGCGGGTAAAGTTAGAGGTATACTTTGCCGCCCAAGCCAATTTGGGAGATCCCTCTTTCACGTTCTCGACCGTACGGCTAACCCGGGACGATTCTGTGGCTTCCAGCTAAGCGACTGGATTCTACTCGCGGCTGCCTACTTCTAGCAGACTTCCGATAGATTCATTGTGCACTGGTTTTTTTGTGTGTTTCCTTCTTCGTTCTTTCTGTTTTCTACTCGTCATTGCTTTATCGATTCGTTGTTTTAATTTTGTCAATAAATCTTATTGATACTCCTTGTCCTTTGAATTCGAACCGTACCTCGTTCAGATATCTGTGACACTATTCGGCTTACAAGGCCCTACGTGGCGATTAAGTTTTGCATTTGGGTTGGCGCCTACGTTACCAAATGGCGCTAAATAGTAAAATCAGATGTCATATTAGTAGACAGGACGATACTGAAGGCAACAAGCTAAGCGGTTATAATAGTGCCAGAAAAGTATTGAATGAAACCCTTAGGCTAGTGTCAGACTTGGCGAATCCAGAGATCGGCGGGGTACGATCGAACGATGTACCAGCGACTCAACATATTTGAAAGTAGCGGGACTCCCTCTCGTTTGCACGTTGATTCTCCTACTTTCTCGGAGTCTCATCCTCTCTCCAGATAGTTGTGTGCAGGGCCAATAGCGCGATAATAGGGCTGCGGGAAGCGCATGCTTCATCGCCGGGGCATATGCGGCGACGCAAATTGCGTGTCGGTCCACACCCTTAGAAGGTACACCTGCATGTCCGCCTGCCCTTAGAAGGTACTCTTCCATGCCCTCGTGAGCCCGGAAATGGCGAGAGCCACTCAAATTGAGTCCCTCCACTGTCGAACAGTGTCGAGCAGGTTCATCGTCGATTCGCTGGCGCAACGCTCGCATCCCTCAATTAGCTAGCGAATCACTGGATTTGCAAAGTCGGACATCGGCCTTAGTGGTTCGATCTCCCGTGGCGACTAAGTTTTGCATTCAGGTTTGCTGCTAGACGCAACGCTCTCTCTGCTGGACGGCTAAAGAATCCGTCACGAGACGACGCGAGCTAGTTGTGTACAGGGCCAATAGCGCCGATTGGGCTGCGGGGAAGCGCATACTTGATCGCCGGGGCATATGCTGCGACGCGAATTGCGTGTCCGTCCGCACCCTCAAAAGGTACGCCTGTATGGCAAGGCTGCACACAAAACATCAAAAAACAAAGAGGAAAACAAATTGAGACTGAAATTATCGATAGGATGCTACCGATTACACGCCAAGTACGCGTCATGCGCCAGTGCGCGTGATGACGCTCTTGGCTCTCTATGCATCGTCCGCACCGTCAGCAGGGACCACATGGAGCGCACCGGCGCAAAGTATGAAAGTAGCCCTACGTAATCGCGGCCTTGCACCGGGAGTCAAGCCACTCACCAACTCTCACGCCTTTTCTGGCATTCTTGAGAAAAATACTGTTTCTGTGTTTTATGAATGGACTCTCGGAAATTCAAGGACCGGCTTCCCCACCTTCTTCACGATACAAGACAGATAACAAAGGCCGCGGAATGACTGTTACCGTAACCCGCGGCCGCGCCCACTAGTCTCGCCGCAGGAGCGGCGAGGCGAACGCCGCGCGCGCCTCGCGCGCAGGGCAAGTGAAGTTAATTCCAACCTGCCGACGAAGCACGCTCCGGCCAGCTCGGCAGGGTGCCACATTCACCCTTCTACAACTCAGGTGTTCCGTACAAGGGACGGGCTCCGCATCGTCCATACTGTTGTCGTGGAGTGCGGAATTACGGTAGCAGCTGTTCCGCAACCTCTGTTGCACTGCTTTTTTGGAGAACGCCTCGCCCACCGGGGGTGGGTCTCTCTTATTCGATGTGGATTACCAATGCACACCTTTACCCACTTTTTGGCCCAACTTCATGGTCGTTTTCTTAGAGAATTGGAAATCTCGGTCGTCAATACACTTCATGTCGACGCACGCCACGCCCACTGTGGGCGGGGCTCCGCTTAGCTGATGTGTGTTTTGTACTTCGTAAAACCTTGCCCATCCGTTTCCCACTGACACGGTCCCTCCAGGCGGATCCCGAGGAGCTAGGGAATTTCGTGACAGACATACAGAAAGAACGACAGACGACAGACGAAGCGCTTCATAGTAAGTAGGATACTTCATTTCGTTCCCAAAATGGCTCGTACGAAATTCCCGTTAGTAAATTTTTTTCATGAATTTTCGGGGCAACTCTTCCGAAAACACGAGTTCTCAACATTCAAACATTTACAGCTTCAAACTCAATTTTATGAGGAGTAATGATGACGTGACTCTCACAAGCTTTGTACGTTCACGATGGATACTGACATCTTTTCAGGAAGTTGTAGACAGTTGAATATTTATTTCCAAAATTTCCTTGTTAGCCCTTATTAGTCAATCTACCCTAGTGGTCATTTTTTACACAAGGCGGATAACAAAGGTCGCGGGTTCACTGTTACCGTAATCCGCGCTAGCATTGGTGCGCGCTGCAGCGCACTGAAGCGCCATTTGAGCGATGCAAGCGGTCGCTTGGTTACGGGGCAGTGGTCAATCAACGCGTGAGAGTCTATGGCTAAAACTTATGAAGAAAGGATAGAAAGAAGAAATGCTGGAATAGGATGCATATGCCAGAGTGCCCAGAGAAACCACAAAAAGCTGAATCACCAAGCCTTCTGGCTGACCGCTGCCCTTGCACGCAGTCCCCATTCCTGTTCATTCATTTCGTAATCTGTATTTTTGTACACCATTGCAATTGACATCGTTTTTTGCAGTCTTAAACTGTATCAGCTCTCAATCTATTGAAACATTCTTTACATAAATGCGATTGAAAATTGTTTCGTTTTCCAGTCACTGGGCGGATCGAATTAGTCGTGGATAAATTTGCTAATGGGTAACTTACGCAACGCATCAACGTCGAGCGCATAACCAATCATGACGAAGGTCCAAGCCGCTATTGACAACCAAATTAAGAACGACAAAAAATAACAATCTCAGTACTCTTTTCCAAGTTTTTCCTTGATCTGGCTTGCCGGTGAGGCCGGTGAGGCCGCTAGGGTGTGGACTACTCTTTCTCTATCGTCTCTCATGACTGTCTACTCTACTCTCGGGTCTCGTCCATTAAGGGGGGGGGGAGGGGGGCATGTGGGTTAACGGACTACTTGAACTCAGCCCTTTATTACCACCTCTGCGCTCTCTAGCGGGTCCCTCTCCTCTCCAAGGCTTAGTCCTAGGGTATTCTCTAATCGTCCATGCTCTAGCCATCGCGGCAGAACCATTAAGGAAAATAAAGTAGTCCGTAAACCTTATATTCGTAATCATGGTAACGAACACAACTTTTGTTAATACAAGGAAAAATTCCTCAGTGGTGCATTCGCAAGTTACAATTATGCGGTGATGATCCTTGCGTCGCATAAAGGGCGCTCCAGCGCTCGCTGCAGCGCGCTCCACCGCTTGTTGCAGCGCGCACCAATGCTAAGGGGGATTACGGTAACAGTGAGTCCTCGGCCTTTGTTGTCTGTCTTGCTCCTTCACTAACTTAGGTCCAGTTTGAAAACATTGGATCTCCTCGAGAGCATATTTATGTGCGTGAACAGTCAAATATAGACACTTCCGCAGTAAACTCTTCTGCTTTGAGGTGCGCCATGCACTCGTTAGTGGTTAATAGGTGGAGAAGTCCTTGAAGGTTGTACCTCTCATCTACGTATTGAGACGTTGACCTTTGCGAACAAGACCCTCCCCCTCTCCCGTCGGCCAAATACGACCCCCGAACGGTTGACCCTAACTGTGGTGGTGGAGCTTTTCAAATTTACCCGCGTTCGCGGGCACTATCGACTCAGCCGCGCCCCAAATTGTGAAGAAAGTGGCGGAGCCGAATGTTTACAATGCAAAATATGCTGTGCTTGTGGTTTTACGCGTGAGCGCTCTAAACCGCAATGTCTCCCTCAGTGTACGAGACCTTTTCCTCAGAGTTTCTTGATAGGCGATGCAAATCCACAAGGTAGCTCGTTCAGGGTGTGCCAAGCTTTTTCAAAACGGTCTTTCGGATGATATAGGAGTACATGCGGGAACCACAGAATCATGGTTAACTTTTCCTGATCGGCTCTCTGAATACCAGGAAAGATGGTCCCTAGTTACACCTTTTTCAGCACTTTTTCAATCAAAGTCTATTTGTAATGGTCACTGACGGTCCTAATCATGAATATGGTACTAGTTATTCATGCTAACTCATTTTGCGCGAATATTGAAACGTCAACTCGAAATGCCAAAATTTGTCACCACGAGGAATCGAACTAGGGACCCCTTTTCTCGTAGTCAGAGGGCCGTTCAGGAAAAATGAACCATGCTTCTGTGGTCCCCACATGTGCCCCAATGTCATGCAAGGAAACCATTTTGAAAAACCTTGGCACACCCTGAACGACCTCCCTTGTCAGTCCATAACCCATGTTGACATACGGAGTTATGGAATTAATTTGTTTTGTGGATCTCACACATTTCTATAATGCAACAAACTGAAGAAAGACATAGTAAGCGCTTGCAGCTCCAGAGATGGGTGAATCGAGAAGCCGAAATCGCAACGAGCATTGGAAGGTGTCATCATCGGAAAAGTACGCATCCAGGGTCGAACAGGTGGAAGGATATGTGAGAGCATTCTGGATACGAGGTTCTGAGATTCGATATGCTAGTGTCTAATTCTAATCAAAGCCAGCGGTACATAGCCAGGAGTGGCCAATCGACGGGGGAAGAAATTTTCGATACGTCGGGAATCGAATCGGATACAATGGTGGGGATCCCGTTAGAGAATTGACGGACGAAGAGCAATATGGCGAAAGTAGGTTCGCGAGCAAGGGCGCAGCGTTTATTCGAGGCCAATGCGGCTCCATGATGGGGTAACAATCTGATTCGGCGTGTAGGGTGTACAGAGCTATCGCCAGCAGTGTACAACAAAGAGAAGCTACGTGCAATCATGGAGCTCGATCGATGGGAGAGAGGAGAGAATCTAGCGCTGAAGAACAGAAGCTAGGTCGTTGTGTGGCGAAGAGACGTAGTGCGCCAGGGAAGTCGAAAATATTATCAGCGGAAGGAATGTGTGACCAGCAGGTGAATGGTTTCCTTCGAGCCTAGCATGCTTAGGGTCGGGCGTTTGCAGGGTCGATGGAGCGGAGATATCATGTGTACGGGTTTAGAATGTACGAAGAACCGCTAGTTTTTAGCGAGCAGGGTGTGAAAGTGGAAAGTCGAGCATGGAGGATGTCGAGATGTACCGCAGTATAAAGCGACTGAGTAGCGACGGACTGATAGTGCTAAGGCAGCCAGATGTGCATGAATTCGAGACGAAACGTTACTTGAAAAAGGTCAAAGAACAGGATATGTATGAACAGGTACGAAACTGAGCTTGGGGATGCGGGGCAGCAGGTATGACAAAGTGTTTGCGGTCGAGACAGAGCATGAAAGGACCGACCTAGTATACATGAAGTGGACACTGGGTACACGCGCCCAGATTCAGAGGTAGGCCCGTACATATAGCGTGCGCGACGGATTTAAGGATTGCTCAATGGAACTATAGACCGAGGCATTATAGAGGACTTTCGGACAGATCTAGTGGGCATCACCGGTCGTTGCTCCGGTGAAAGAGATGGGTCGTTTGACGGTTGTGTATCGACTATCGGGACTTAGCAGAAATACAAAACAAGACGCGATACCCGCTGCCACGAATAGATATGATTTTCTTAACCTACGAGGACGGGGTTTTCAGTACGCTGGATTGCAGGGTATGGCAATTCGAATGTCGGAGATGCGAAGTAGAGTGACTCCGTTGAATCGGAGGGCCTTTCCAGTTAAAGGGTCTTGCCTTTTGGCCGTTTGCACGTCCAAGCGAGTTCAAGACTCCATGACACCAGTCTGGGAACTTAGTGGCAAACGAAGATCTTTGTTTACATTGACGACGTCGCTGATCGCCCGAGATAAGGAGTAACATATGAGTACTGAAGGGCGTGCTAGAGGCCTGAACGGGCAATGGAAGCTGAATCCACAGAAATGTTATGACTGTTGGGTAAGAAAATCGCGCTTTACTTGGGCTGGAGTGATAAGTGAGGGTTCCCGCTGAGACCCAGCCAAAATGAGAAAATACAGAACTAGTCACGCCCTAAGTGTTGGCGCGAAATCGTACCTCTTGGGCATGGGCGGGTATGACGCGAATTCGTGTTAGGGTTCTCAGTATCCGGGTTACCCTATTCGAGCTAAACGATGGTAGGCGCCCTGGCGATGGCAGAGAGCCAGAAGAGGCAGCTTTCGAGCAGTGTGAAAGCCCGTCTGGTGCACAACGTGTTAGCAGCAGAGACGTGGAGCGGCAGAGTGGTGTCGTCCAGATCTGGACCAGACGCGTCAGATATTGTGGGAGCTGTGGCTGTCCAGGAGGGACGTGCGGCTTCTTGAACCTTTATTTCGTATATAAAGCTTTCAGAGGCGAACCGAAGACGTACCAATAACCAGATTAGGAGGCGTTGAGATCGCCCCCATGGTAGTTTGCGGAAGCCTCATTTCTTAGTGTATGGTATGCACGTCGTTGTGAACGATCACATTCCCCTCACGCGTCATTTCAGAGGCAAAAAGTGTCCGCGAGAGTGATGAGGGTGGGCGCTGGATGTCCAGCAGCTCAGCTACCATCGAATACGTGAAGGCAAGGCGATGCCGTTGCAGGACGCTCTTTCGAGAGGACTTCCAGCAGATGAAGTAGCATGAATACCCAATCCTGGAGAGAAGAGAAGATGTTTGCTCAGTGTCCGAAAGGAAACGACTTCGGACATCAAAGTGGCTGAGGAGACTTTAATGATAGATTGAGGTAATTACGGCAAAGTCTGGAGAACTTGAGGACAATAAGCTGGGAAGAGGTAAGTTAAAGTTGCCGCATGGCAAAGTTGAAGTAGTGGATCATGGGATAGAAAGAGGCGCTGAGTGTTTATGCGAGTAAGATGGGGAACAGTGGTTGTAGTGCCGCAATCAAAAGGAAAAGAAGTGTTCGACGAGCCCACCGGAGGTGTCTTGCGGAATTCTCGACGAGGAAAATGTGTCGAATATTGGAAAGATGGGTTTCTGGAAAACCATGGAGAAGGAAATAGGCGAAGTGGGGTGCGAGCTTGCACAGAAAGTTTTTTGTCAATTCCAAACCAAAAAGATACGCCGCCACTTGGAGCCTTTTTGTGGCTAGGCAAAATCCGTTTAGATTGTGTGTGTGCTAGTTTTTTGGAAATGGTTCAGCGCGAATGTAATATGAATATTATAGCTGTGGATAGTGCTGGAATGGAGTATTTCTCAATGGCTAGGGCGCTTAAACGCATATGATGGACAAGTCTGGCGACCTCCGTGGCAGAAGTGATTTTCAAGATGGGTCATGCGAGGAGGCGCTGGCAAGAGTTACACAGGAACCAAGGAATTGGAAGTTTAAGGGAATGAAATAATGTTCGATGAGCTGCGGAGGATTTCAGGCATCAAGACACACAGTTACAAAAGGGCTACAATTTTCCAAGAGAAACGGAAGAGCAGAAAGCGTCGAGTAGGAACATCTGCAGCGGATATGAAAGAAGATTGTAGTTCTGGAGAATTGGGATTGTGTACTCCCTCATGACAGTACTTGCATACAATGTGAACAAGCAAGAAGAACTGGCGAAGCCCTTCTTTCTTGGCTAGAGGTTATTTGACCCTGTGATCCTCGAATTCGATGCCAGAGGGGAGTTCGTCTGATGTGAGTCGACCTTGAACGCATTACAAGACCGAGCGTGTCCGCGGTCATGCGAGTAGATTCGGATGCAGGTCGCATCAGCAGGCGAAAAAGTACGAGAAAGAATGAAGAATCTATAGATAGCGAGAAAGAGTGGATAAGTCATTGTCTCCGCCAAGTAGAGCGAAAGAGGTTTATGAAATGCGCGAGGAGACGAAGCCCGCAAAACATCCTAAGCTGTCGTACGCAAGAACTGTGAGATATGGGATGGACGTACGGGTAATTTGAGATGGAAGTGAAAACTCAGCGCTGGTACGAATGATAGGGCTGAACGAGATCCAGCTTAGGTTACAGTGTGATCTTTTGTAAAGTCGCGAGCGAAATTAGTATATGACAGTGGAAGTGTCACTAGGCGAAGGAGAGGCCAGAGGCCTGAGAGAGAAAGGGAAGAGAGATAGAGACATGGAGAGTTTGCCTGATCGAGTATCAGTACGCAAGGATAGTTTTTCAGTTGGAAAACGACTATGAGTCGATTTTACGATCTTTTATTCACGGTCATATCAAAGTGCGACGAGGGGTCAAAGTTTTTGCCTAGTATAGCGGACGGCCCTGTTTTGCGATTGAGCGTGTCGCTGCGTCAGAAGACTACCTTGCTGATCTTCATTACCGTCCGTGCCCTCCAGCGCAGGCGAAAAGAGACTCCAGCTGTGTCTTGGATGCGTGCGTTTGTGGCAATAGGGTGGGGGCGAAGATCGTTTCGTGGAAAGTGCAGAGGATCGTGAAGAGTAGTACCTGGCGTTGAATCCGAAACCGTCGCTGTGCTACTGCTTCTTCAAAGTCGTTGATTGCATGTCGCGTTAATGAGTGAGTATGGTGCCCCAAGGACGCTCGGTTCAAATCAAACAGTTTTCCTGGTTGGGCCTTGAGATACGAGTAGAGCAATTTACAATATGGATTATGCACGATGCACGCTCGTTGGAATGGTCGCGTATGGTCTGTCGGGTCGGAAATCGCAATGAGGCATGCCGAAACGTACCTCTGGTGACGGAATGTGTGAGAGGATTGACTTTTGCCGAAGGGCCAGGACTCCTGTTCTACTACAGGTCATTTCGTGAAGTCCGGCGGGAATAATAATAGTGAGGTGCCATGATGAAGTTGAACCGTTGTGTGGGTAAGCGCGCCGAGGGAACTGGGAACGCTTATTCGTGGATTCAGTTCACTTGCAGCGGATTGACTCAGCGGTATCTTGTGGCGGCATGTGTTGGATGGAATGGAGCCGCTCGGCGATGATGGCAGCTGGAAATCGCACATGAACAAAGGGGCTGACGAACCCAATCTTGGATATCTCGACGAACACGCTGACTTGTGGGCAGAGCAGTGGACAATGATTTCATTATCGGAGAGATCGAGTCTGGAAGGCTTCATGGCTGTCTTCGCGATCGGGTGTGTGGAAAGACAAGAAATGAGCTGGGAAGCTACACGCGCACTGGAATTCTTTGAATCAATCTCAGAGGACAATCAAGGGAAGCATGGCGTACAATTGGAGTTCTCTAAGGTGCATAGTCAACGGAAGTGTCTGGAGGCCGCAAATACTGTTTAATAAAGTAGGGGGCGGAGGACCGCTAGACGGCCAGATCTCAAAAGCACCTCAAAGGGATGGAAAACGCAGGAAAGAGTCGCCCAATAAGTGATTGCTCGGGCCGTACAGCACCACATATCAGATCTGAGGACAGATGGAACGGAGGAGGAGGCATGCAAGTTGCCAGAGTACCTAGAGATGTGAGTATGATCTGAGTGAGGTGGTCAAGTAGAGCATGCTTTCTTGATCTAGCGTTGGAGTTTTATGAAATAAAAAGGGAGCGAAGAATGAAATTACCTCGGCGAGAAACGCAATATATAACCCAAGGATACTTATTTCTTCAGTATATTTTAGGGGTGTGAAGCGCCCCGCCTCGCTCTTCCACGTCCTCGCGGAGTTATCCTCTTCTATTCCTAATTAGGGGAAGTTCTGTATTACTCTTGACATGTAAGTTCGGTGGAACAATCTCTAAATTCATTTTTTTTGATAGTGACGTCATTTTTTTTGTTGTTGTGGATTGGAATAAATCTCGGTTTGCAGAAAACAGTGTAGCCGGTTTGTCATGCGGTAGTTATAAACCGACTAGGCAATCTCGTTTGCGCTTTGGGGTGAGCCGCACCAAATAATACGTGAGTTTTCAATAAGGGCGCGAAAAAAGGCGTCGGCGGAAACCGCAATATAAAACCCAATGTGTAGAGTTCGAAAGGATCTTATTTCTTCGCTATTTCTAGGGGTCGTCTGAGCGCCCCACGCCTCGCTCTCCCATCGTCCTTCGCGGGTTCTCCTACCCCTATTCCTATCCTAGGGGAAGTTTCTCGATTACTCTTGCTGTAAGGTTCGGTGGAACCATCTCTACATCATTTTTTTTGATACGTTTGTATTTTGTATTTTGTACGCTCGTATTTTTTCGTTGTGGATTTGAATAAATCTCATTTGCAAACAGTGTATTGCTCGTCTTGTGCATCGGGTATAACCGACTAGCATCTCTTTCGCTTTGGTGCAGCCGCACCAAATATAACTTGGGGGCCAAGCCAAAGCACAAGGGAGCGAGCACTGTGTGCAAATAACTGAAGTAGGACCATCGCGTTTTTACGTCGTCGTTTTTTGTCAGCAGCGATCCCTTGGTTATCCTCGAGTGGTCGCTCGCTGTCGCACTCACTGCTAGCAAGTGGTGGCTGTCCGAAGGGAGAGCCCAACTTGTTGAGACGGTGTGGGTCAGGTTCCTGCAGTAGTTAGGAATCGATAGTGGTGCACCCTTTTTGTAAAGGGTCAACGCTGCCCAAATTTTTTTTGGGATCAAAGCGGTGCACAGCTATCGATTGTTAGCGGCTGGAAGAACCTGGCACCACACGAACCCTGACGTTGCGTGCGATGACGTCAGTGGCGTCGATGGAAGCAAGAGATTTTGAGGTAAACACACATATTGCAGAGGTGACTCCTCTAGAAGAGAGCAATATGGCAGATGATTCCCCCATGGCAGTTGATGTGGACAGGGATCAGGAGCTAGACGTGCTCAAGGTATGTCACCATGCACTTAGAAGTGTGAAAGAAATAGAAGTGCGGGTCGGTGCAGAGCTGGCAAAATATTGGCGCACGGGAGACGCGAAACGAGAGAGCTGTGAGCGAGTGCTGCGAATGGCTGTAGCTGAGGTAGAGCAGCAACTGGCACAGTTAAAGCAAGCGTGTGAGGGAAACGAGAGAAATGTTGCTGAGGAACTGATGGCGGCATTGAATTGCGCCACGCAAGTTGAAGTAGTAGAGGCGGTTGAGGAGCTAGCTGTAAAGGCTGCCATGATCGACGAGATCGAGAGGTGCACAAATTGGGAGCGAGAACAAATTGTGCTGAACTGTAAAGAATTAAAAAAGAGGATGATAAAGTTAATTGAGAAAGAAAAGGAAGTGGCATCATTGCAGCGTGAGCTGGAGATGGCACGTAAAGAATTGCAAGTGCTCAAGTCGCGTAAGGAGGAGTCCGGTAAAAGCGGTGTATGGACTACGGTGCCAGGTAAGGCCGCTGAAGAGACTTCAAAAATCAACATTGAAGCATTGAAAAGGTTGAAGCACGAAATGAGCTCATGCAAACCTACATTGCAGGCTGGGCGAGAAAGGCCGCCAAGGTCGAGCAACTCGGTGTCGAGCAAATCCAGGCAATCCTCAGGGAGGACGCTGATGAAGCACGGTGAGTTGTCATCGATATCTAGCTGGGAAGAGTTGAGCGAGGTTGATAGTTGCGGTAGTGAGGGGATGAGCCGACGCAGTAGTCAGGGATCCTGCTCACTCGCAGAAAACCAGTTGGGAGCATATTTGAGATATGTGGCGCTCCCAGATGTTAGAATATTTTCGGGAAAAGATAAAGATTATTCGTGGAATAATTTCATCGAATCTTTTTCTTTGAAATATCCAACACAGAATTGGTCCAGCGAAGAGTTGAAGACCTTGTTGAAGTCGAAGCTAATTGGCCAGGCCAAAACGCGATATGAGGCGTTACCTCACAGGATTAGGCGAGGGTCCTTCGAGGGTGTAGTGGCAGCCTTAGCAGAGACATACAAGGTTGACGCACAGACCAGTAGAGTTGTTGCGCTGGGGAAGCTGAAGAGGCTGAGAAAGTCTGAGGAGCAATCGGTTGCGGAGTACTGCGTGCTGTTGGAGCAGCTGTCAGTCATGGCATACCCAGAGTTGGATGAGAGTGCTCTAATGACAGTGAGGGCCCATCAGCTGTATGAGCAATTAGTACACTGGCCTGAATCTTATCATTTGTTGGTGGCCATGGAGATGCCAGGGACAGATCCGTATACAAGTCTCAAAGATACAGCAATGAGGATTGAGCGACGGAACCTGACTTTGGCAAACACGAAGGACTCAGTGAGGACAAGCGGATTCTCATCGCGTTCACTGGCTAATGCACCAGCCAGAACTCCGGACGTAGGAGGCGAGAAGAGCAGACGTTCTTTCAAGCCTGCTCAAGCCAAGCCGACAGTTGGAGATGTGGAGAAAGGCCATCAAGAAAGGCAGAAAGAGACAAAGACGAGGTGCTATAAATGTCAGGGCATGGGCCATATGGCTAGAAATTGCAGAGTTGGAAGTAGTCACGTGGAGAGTAAGGCGGCAGATGTGCTGCAGCTCCAAGAGGATGAGGAAATCGAGGCGAAATCGCAAACGAAGCCATTGGAGGCGTCATCATTCGGAAACAAGTACGCATCCAAGGTCGAAGCAGGTGGAAGGATATGGAGAGCACTGCTGGATACAGGTTCAGAGATATCGATCATGCCTGTAGCTGTCTACCATCTAATCAAAGCCAGCGGTCACATATCCCAGGAGTGGCCAATCGACAGGAAAAAGAAAATTGTCGATGCGTCGGGCAACCGAATGAAATTCGAGACAATGGTGAGGATCCCGGTAAGAGAATGTGACGGCGAAGAAGCAATCATTGCGATGCACGTATCGCAGCAAAAGGGGCAGACGTTGATTCTTGGTACCAATGCGCTCCCATTGCTGGGGTACAATCTGATTCGGCGTAGTAAGGGTGTAACAAAGAGCATCCCGCCATGTGCAAGCAAAGAGGAAGCGCGTGGCAATCAAGAGCTCGCATCGAAGGTGAGAGGGGAGCAGACATCTAGCGCTGACAAGGAACAGGCTAGTGTCGTTGTGGCGAAGCGAACGTACGTGGCTCCAGGAGAAATGAAAAATATATCGGTAAAGGGAAGTGTGAACCCAGGTGAAAGGGTGTTCCATTCGAGCCTAGCATGCTTAGGGTCGGGCGTTTGCCAGGTCGATGAGAGCGGAGTATCATGTGTACCGGTTTGGAATGGTACGCAAGAACCGCTAGTTTTGCGAGCAGGTTGTGAAGTTGGCAAGTACGAGCATGATGATGTCGAGTGTACCGCAGTTAAAGCGACTGAGGTAGCGACGGACATGCTAGTGCTAGGCAAGCCAGCACTGCATGAATCGGAACGAAAACGTCTACTTGAAAAGTTCCTAAAAGAAAACAGGAATATGTATGAACAGGACGAACCTGAGCTATGGAGAATCGTGGCAGAGTATGACAAAGTGTTTGCGGTCGAAGACAGAGAACTGACACAGACCGATCTAGTCATACATGAAGTGGACACTGGTAACACGCCGCCGATTCGTCAGAAGGTAAGGCCCGTACCTATAGGTGCGCGAGCGGAATTTAAAGGTATGCTCAAGGAACTGCTAGACCGAGGCATTATAGAGGCTTCGGAGTCTGAGTGGGCATCACCAGTCGTGCTGGTGAAAAAGAAAGATGGGTCGTTACGGTTGTGTATCGACTATCGGGAACTTAACAAAAACACAAAACAAGACGCATACCCGCTGCCACGAATAGATATGATTCTTCATAACCTACGAGGACGGGAGTATTTCAGTACGCTGGATATGGCTTCAGGGTACTGGCAAATTCCGATGTCGGAAGATGCGAAAGCGAAGAGTGCTTTCGTGACATCGGAGGGCCTCTTCCAGTTTAAAGTCTTGCCTTTTGGCCTGTGCACGTCACCAGCGAGGTTCCAAAGGCTCATGGACACAGTACTGGGAAACTTAGTGGGCACGGACGTCTTTGTTTACATTGACGACGTCCTGATCGCCACAGAGACTAAGGAGCAGCATATGAAGGTGCTGAGGGCCGTGCTAGAGGCCATGAAACGGGCAAATCTGAAGCTGAAACCACAGAAATGTATGCTGTTGGGAAGAAAAATCGCCTTTCTTGGGCATGAGGTGGATAGTGAAGGGGTTCACGCTGACCCAGCCAAAATTGAGAAAATACAGAACTATCCACGCCCTAAGTGTCTGGCGGAAATGCGTACCTTCTTGGGCATGTGCGGATATTACCGCAAATTCGTGTTAGGGTTCTCAAGTATCGCGCGTCCCCTATTCGATCTAACCAATAGTAAGGCGCCCTGGCGATGGCAGAGGGCAGAAGAGGAAGCTTTCGAGCAGTTGAAAGCCCGTCTGGTGCAACCACCCGTTTTAGCACAGCCAGACATTGAGGCGGCAAGGAGTGGTGTGCGTCCATTCATCCTATACACAGACGCGTCCAGAATTGGCGTGGGAGCTGTGCTGTCGCAGGAGGGACGTGACGGCTTCTTGCACCCCCTTTATTTCGTATCTAAAAAGCTTTCAAAGGCAGAACGAAACTACCACATAACCGATTTGGAGGCGTTGAGCATCGTGGTAGCTTTGCGGAAGCTCCATTTCTTCGTGTATGGTATGCACGTCGTAGTGAGAACGGATCACCTTCCCCTCACGGTTCTCTTCAAGAGGCAAAACGTGTCCGCGAGAGTGTTGAGGTGGGCGCTGGAGGTCCAGCAGTACAAGCTCACCATCGAATACGTGAAGGGCAAGGCGAATGCCGTTGCGGACGCTCTTTCGAGAGGACTTCCAGCAGATGGAAACGCAGATGAAATACCCAATCCGGGAGAAGATAAGATTGTTTGCTCAGTGTCCGAAATGAACGAATCGGAGTGGCTGAGAGAACTTCAGACTGATGAGGATTACGGCAAAGTCCTGGAAAACTTAAGGCAAATAAGCTGGAAGAGGAAGTAAAGTTGCCCGGCATGGCCAAAAGATTGAGAGTAGCTGACTTCATGATAGAAGAAGGCGCCTTGAAGCTGATGCGAGAAGATGGGACAACAGTGGTTGTAGTGCCGAAATCAAAAAGGAAAGAAGTGTTCGACGAGGCCCACGGAGGATGTCTTGCAGGACATTTCTCGACGAGGAAAATGTGTCGAATACTAGGAAAGAGGGTTTTCTGGGAGACCATGGAGAAGGACATAGCGAAGTGGGTGCGAGCTTGCAGGAAATGTTTTTTGTCCAATCCAAAACCAACAAATACGCCGCCACTGAAGCCTTTTGTGGCTAGCAAGCCGTTTGATTGTGTGTGTGCTGATATTTTAGAAATGGGTCTCAGCGCTAATGGTATGAAATATATACTAGTGCTGGTGGATCATTTCTCCAAGTGGCTAGGCGCTTACGCAATGAGGGAAAAGACTGCGACCTCGGTGGCAGAAGTAGTATTCCAAAGATGGGTATGCGAAGGAGGTCGCTGGCAGAAGCAATTGCACACGGACCAGGGAACGGAGCTCGTGAATGAAATGTTCGATGAGCTCGCGAAGATTTCAGGCATCAAGCACACTGTCACAAAAGGGTACAATTCCCGAGAGAACGGTGCAGCAGAAAGAGCGATAGGAACATTGCAACGAATACTGAAGAAGAAGATAGAGGTGCCGGAAAATTGGGATTTGATACTCCCTAATGCAGTTTTCGCATATAATGTGACACCGCACGAAGGAACCGGCGAAAGCCCATTCTTTCTGCTATATGGTTTTGACCCTGTGATTCCTCTGAATTCGTTGCCAGAGAGTAGAGTTCGGCTGAGTGAGATCGACCTTGACGATTACAAGACCGAGCTTGTCCGCGGTATGCGAGTAATTCGCGATGAAGTTGCTCAGCAGGCGGAAAAGTACCGAGAAAGAATGAAGAAATACTATGATAGCGAGAAAGCAGTGGATAAGTCATATTCTCCCAAAGTAGGCGAAAGAGTGTTTATGAAGATGCCGCGAGAGCGGAGCCACGCGAAACATCCTAAGCTGGTGTGTGAGTGGGATGGACCGTACCGCGTAATTGAGAGGAGTGAAAACTCAGCGCTGGTTACGAAGATAGGCATGAACGAAGATCCAGTTAGGGTACAGTTTGATCTTTTGATAAAGTGCCCGGACGAAATTAGTAATGAACCAGTGGAAAGTGTCACTAGGCGAAGGAGAGGCAGAAGGCCTAGAGAGAAAGGGAAGAGAGATAGCATGCGAGAGTTTGCCTGTCGAAGAATATCAGTACGCAAGGATTCGTTTTTCAGGTTGGAAAACGACTATGACGTCGATTCTTCGATGCATTTTCTTCACGTTCGATTCAAATGCGACGGTCAAAGTTTTCCGAGTATAGACGGACGGCCTGGTTTTTCGTTATCAGCGTGTCGCTGCAGTCAGAAGACTACCGTTTCTGATCTTATACCGTCCGTGCCCCCTCCAGCGGCAGGCGAAAGAGTCCAGTGTGTCTTGGATGCGGCCAGAGCTTTGGCAATCTGGTGGGGCGAAGGATCGATTTCGTGTAAAGTGCAGAGGATCGTGAATAGTAGCTACCTGGCGTTGAATCCGAAATCCGTCGCTGTTGCTTACTGCTTCTTCAAAAGTCGTTGTTCGCATGTCGCGTTAATGAGTGGTATGGTCCCCCAGGACGCTCGGTTCAATCATACAATTTTGCCTGGTTGGCCATGGGATACGAGTAGAATCATACAATATGGATGGCACATGGCACGCTCGTTGGAATGGTCGACAATATCGTCTGTGGTGTCGAACGCGAATGAGCATGCCAGAACGGTCATTCTGGTGCCGGATGTTTTGAGAAGATTGACCTTTTGCCGGAAAGGGCCAAGGACTACTCTGTTCTACTACAGGTCATTTCGTGAAGTCCGGCGGAATAATAACGTGTTGTTCGCTGATGAAGTTGGAACCGTTGTGTGGGTAATGCCGCCGAGGGAACCTGAGGACGCTTATTCGTGGATTCAGTTCACTGCAGCGGTTGACCTCTGGTTATCTTGTGGAGCGCATGTTTGGATGGTAAATGGGCCCCGCTCGTGCGATGATGGGAGCTGGAATCGCATGAACCAAAGGGCGCGGACCCACATCCTTGGATATCTCGACGACCACGCTGACTTTGCGCAGCAGTGGCATGATTTGTTACCGGAAGACGTTGGAGTTTTGAAGGCTTCCATGGCTTGTCTTCGCGTGGGTGTGGTGGAAGACCCAAGAAAATGGTGGGAAGTACCGCGAGCACTGGAATTTTTTGATCACCTCACAAGGCAACTCAAGGAGCATGGCGTACAATTGGAGGCTCTCAAGGTGCCCAAGTCAATGAAGGTGTCTGGAGGACCGGCACATACTGTTAATAAAGTAGGGGGCGGAGGACCGCCCATAAAAGACGGCAGGATCTCAAAAAGGCACCTCAAAAGGGTGGAAAAACGCCAGGAAAGAAGTCGCCAAAAGCTGATTGCTCGGGGGTTACAGCACCTCAATATCAGATCTGAGGACAGATCTACGGAGGAGGGGGGCATGTAGTGGCCAGGTGACCCCTAGAGAATGTGGTATTGATCTGACGTGAGGTTGTCAATAGAGCATGCTGTTTTGATCTAGCGTGAGTTTTCAATAAGGGCGCGAAAAAAGGGCGTCGGCGGGAAACCGCAATATATAAAACCCAATGTGTAGAGTTCGAAAGGATCTTATTTCTTCGCTATTTCTAGGGGTCGTCTGAGCGCCCCACGCCTCGCTCTCCCATCGTCCTTCGCGGGTTCTCCTACCCCTATTCTATCCTAGGGGAAGTTTCTCGATTACTCTTGCTGTAAGGTTCGGTGGAACCATCTCTACATCTATTTTTTTGATACGTTTGTATTTTGTATTTTGTACGCTCGTATTTTTTTGTTGTGGATTTGAATAAACTATCATTTGCAAACAGTGTATTTGCTCGTCTTGTGCATGCGGTGTATAACCGACTAGCATCTCTTTCGCTTTGGTGCAGCCGCACCAAATATTAAACTACGACAGATTCAGGCGCACCCCGGAAAGCGTTTAGACTGTAGTCAAATTCTTTCTCGCACCGGCTTCATTTGCGATTCTAAGACAATCGGTCAGGTGAAAAGCATGATTGACCATCATGAGATGCGAAAGGGATTTCTGCTGTAGGAATTATTTCGTGCCGATGGTATAGTCAGTCAGATCCGGCAATAGCTTTTCGCTTTCGCGCTATCAACAATCAGCATCATGGAAAACTTTCAAGAAAATCAGATTCGAATTTTGCAAGACGCTAGGGTTGTGAACAAACTTTTCGCCAGACGGGATCGCGACCGCACTTGCTTGGCTTTACCGGGCACATGCGCGAACAAGGTTACGAGACCAGGGCGCCGTTCATCTAACCCGAGCTCTTTTGCCTCTGGTATGGGAATGGCGCCCTCGGTAGCGTACGTGGGAGCGCCATTGCTGCGGTAGGCAGGGCGAGTTCGAGTTCTCGTCTGTAGGCGAGTGTTGTTCAAACCAGTTCTTGTGGAACTTCCGCAGGGCGAACTTCGGCAAACAGCATCAGTTGGACAACACAAAGCAAGGCAGTATCATGCAGAAAGTCCATTGATGAGATCCTTTTCTGGTGTTAGCACCACACGACAGCTCGCCGTGAATTCAGAGGACAGTTGGAGAACGAACGTGTGCTTCAGTAGATAGTTTTACTTGAATGAGAGGCCTATATCATTTTTTGGTAACTAGTTGAGTTCTTTTCAATTTGGATGTACTTTATCCGATAAGAACAAAAATGGGATGCAACCGAATGTATTACACAGCTATTTGGGGGACGCGAAAAAGAGGACAGTGGTCTTCAGTGGGCGGGGAAACTCGAGGGGCAGATCCAGATCTAGGCGTGCAGGTGTCGCAACAGCTGTACTTTTTTAGTTTTTTTATCGTGTTAAAACGAATGTCAGAACTACGGAGTATGTTACTAGGTGATGAGTCTCTGTCTGTTGCCAGAGAGGATCGTTGATAGAGAATTGTATTTTTCATTGATGGACAGCACCGTTATGATGATGCGTATCCCCTGCCCGCCCACGACGCGCTTTAGCTGTCAACAAGCAATGCTTATGGATGGCCCATTCCAGTATCGAATTCAAATCTAGATATTAATGTGGGGGAATCGACGCGGGATGGCAATGCGATAACGATGGTGGAAGACACATAGCGTTGCCATCGAGATATCCGCGTACGACGCTGAACGCTCTCCTCAGTGGGAAGCTCGATGCGCCCAGTCAGTTGGAAGCGCAGTGTGCTTTCACTAAGCATGCCATAAAGGATAAGCATCAGGTAAAGCATTTTGCCGTTGATCATCCTTTGTTGGGATGCGGCACGGTTCTACTTCCATGTGGTACATTTCCAGTGGTTTTGAATACGATGTGGCCTATAAATGACTTGCGGGGGCAGCCGATGTGCAAGGCAGTGCTTTTTTTATCCTCCCAGACAAGTTAATGGATACTAATTAACGAGCCGAGGAATGAGCAGCCTTGGTTGCCCCGGGCCCGACTCAACAACCCAGATATTGATCCGCTGGGACCAGCTCGGTGGTGAGCGCGCACTTGTCACGTACACCACTTCACGCCCATTTTAGCAAGCATGCCATAACTCGGCAAATAACTATAAGAAAAAAGAATACTAAATGATCAACATTCTTGTGTCAGAGATGTCAATATATTTGAAACACACTCCATACATGTACAGACAAGTAAAGCCTTTTTCTGGTTTTAGGCCAAGTCAAGTTCTTGAGAATTTTCACCCATCGGCAGCGTTACTAGCCTCGATAAAGGTTTATGCCATATAGGTACGATGCTAACAGTTTTGCATGGAGCTTACATAATACAGATGTCAGAAGCATGACCCCCTCGGGAACTGCAGAATCTCCACGATATGGTCATATCCAAACCCTATCCAACCAATCTATCACGGCAGGCACTAAGGTTGCATGGCTCCGGCGCTCTTTCGCCCCCCCCCCCTAAAGTGTGGCCGCGGTGGGCCAGATGAGAGCAGGCTCGCCGGTCTTTCACCATTAGCTGGGTACTAGGCAGGAGCATGATGGAATGAGAGAAAACGGCTCTCATGGTCAGCTGTCCAGCCTGATCTCGTCCGCGGCCATCGCTTTAGGGAGCGGGGGAGGGGGGAAGGAGTCACAGGGCGGTTGAATGCCACTTATTTATGCCAGGTTGAATGCCAGGCTGTTTCCCCCCTATAAGAGTTCAAAAACTGCGTACATTTAGCTGTGGAACTGGAATAGTCATTGGCAGTCTGGACTCCACGATTTTTTCACCGGCTTTCACCGCTGGTGCACGAAGAGACACGATTATCTCCGGATGAGAAGGCGATTTCTATAACAAACAGTATCAACTTCGAACAAAGAAGGTGAGGAAGGACAAGAGTAAAAGTAGAAATTTGTTCAGGATTCATGTTCTCATACTTACAGGTCTCTCACGTTCCTCGATCTTCTTTTTTCTGCTAACTCCATCTTAGACTTTTCCATTGCTTGCCGCTTCTCCTCCTAAAAAAGCAGTGCCTCAAGGCAGCGAAAACCGTAGCATGAGAGACGAAGTGCAAGTAGCAGACGATTCATGGGCGAAGGAATCTACTTACTATGTTCGAAATAATGGACGCAGGTGATAATCCAGTTTCTATTTTCATGTCGGCTAATTTTTTCAAGTGGTCCGGTGGAAATCCATTCACCAGCTTCCATGGCGCTCTTTTGAAAACAAATGGTTGCGCTACCCACAACTACTGTTGTAATGCAAAAGCCTACCAATTGGTGGCTTAGGAGAGTACTTGTACTCCGACTGCTTTTTAGCCAAGTCATTCAGAAGGGAGCATCGCCCTATTATCGACCACTTACGCAAACCGTCAGCATCATGATCGTACTGCTGCTTCACTGAATGACGGCCTAGCGCAATGTGGGCTGAAAGAGGAGAACTGAAGAAATGATAACTCAAGTGCAGCGAGAGCCAGACGAATCTCCATAGCATACCTTTTTCTAGTTCTGTGGAGGTACCTCCTCAGAGTTCTTCTTGTCAAAGTCGATGACCCTTGGCTGACGAGTTTTCGCAGGCGGTCTTTACAATCTTGTCCTGACTTAGCGAAGCGAGCATTGACGAGGCGACCCTGAACATGCATTTTGTAGCAGAAGTGAAGCGAGCGGAGGTAAATGGGTACTTAATCTTCTCATGTGAAGACTGCTACTGGCAATCGCGACATCGATAGGCGCTGCCGGCCTTAGTAAAGTGGCAATCGCTACGATTGTGGCTGGGATGCCAGATCCTGAGTGGGAGGGGTGCCAGCAGGGTGAAAATCGTTTTCGAAGGACGGTGGTCGCAGAAGTACGACCCCCCCCAACATCGAGTCGGTTCACGCCACTTTTTCACGATTTGGGGCGCGCCGCGGCGACGAGACGCGTCCTGCGCTGTCCGCGGCTTGTGGTGGTGGGAGCGCTTTCGAATTTACTTGCACTAGTTCGCAAGGCACTAAAGACTGCCGCGCTTGCCGGCAGCTGCGCCCAAATCATCTGAAGAAAGTTGGGGAGCCATCGAGGTCTGGCACGCCCTGAAACAAGCATACTACATTAATTTCAAGTTGTTATCAAAAAAACCGTGCAAATAGTATTTACTAAAGCGCCTGCCTTTTGGCCATATGCACTTTCTTTAATCGCTGCATCCCTGTTTGTGTATTTGCTGAAATACGACTCGAGGCCCAAGAAGTATTAACCTGTGTGATTTGAAAAGTCGGGTTCCTTTAAGAGCACGGAAATTCTTCAAGCACGGGTTTGCGATTGAATCTTGAATTCCTGCCTGAGTATATTCACAACCTGCCGATCACGGCCGTATTCAACGGCAAGCTGCGGCGTGATTTTCCGCAGGGTCAGATTTGCTGAAATTCCAAAAAAAAAGTCGTCGAAATCTAATACCCCTCGATAAACAACGTTCACTCTCTCCATTTCTACACTCTTTTGAAAGCAGCGGTAGGGTACTTAGCTTCACATCAGGCTCGTATTGGAATGCTATGCAAGCCTTCCTTTTCAAAGAGATATAGTCTGCGCAGTCGCGACCCGCGTTGTCGCTACTGCCGACGCACAATCGCTAGTCAGACATACCCCTGTGTGCTCAGGATCGAGCGTCCGTTGTAGGAGCCCATTGACATCAAGGGAGTCGTGATAGGCTCAGTGGGCGAGTGGGGTTTGCATTACATAGTGGCCGATCAGCGGCAACGGGGGGTGGATGGGAACCCCATCCTCGGATATCGGTATAAGCCCGTTCCCTGAAATGTTCGACTCACGCCATGCACTTCTTTCTCGCTCCTTGCAGGAAGTCTGAGTTTGTGAACGCAATAGAAGTTTCCGTTGCCAATATCGCCCATGACGTCTCCGCTTCATTTCGTAATGGCAATATACCTGAATTCTCATTTGACGTGGTTTCACTACTATTTACTTCAGTGGCGACCGCAATGCCCTATACAAAAGCGCTACCTTGTTACAGCGCCTATCCTCATTCGTC